ATGGTGACGAGATCTCGCGCTATACAGTAAAGTAACTTCCTTAGTTAGTATAATTTAGTATTGATTAGATTTTCCTGTAAAGGCAATGAGATGTACTATGTCTATACTTGACTCAGGTAGCAACTTTTACCGTGCTCTGGGGTTCCACCACCACCAAACCCAGAGTATATCTATGCTTCCGCTGTGTTGTGTCTGTCTGTTCCCAGGTCTGATTGGTACACCGACCCAGTTGTTCCAGCCACACGTGAACCTTTGTCTGTAAAGACCGAGGGGGGAGACACGTTACACAAAGCCCTCCCCCCACCAGACCCAGTAACCCATACATCAGTTACTTTTGGGGATGAGTGACTGTCCAAGAGTCACCCGGCCGACGCCTCACGTCACTAACGAGGTTGTCAGGGCCAGCGAGCTGTCCACATTATAGCAGTCACCGGAGGTGCCATACAACGCCGGGGTAGCTGTCTCGAGATCACCACTACCCACCTGCTGCGTCATCAAGACTGCAGCCATTCCAGCAGTGTTGGAGGAGAGGTCAAGAAATGGAAAGCACGTAGCAGTACTCAAGAATTTCGCCGGAAGATTAATGATTACGTCATCTGAAGTAACAAGAAAGCGGAAGTAAGGCGGTCACAGGTGGAAGGCACGGTTTCCCTACAGAGTACCGGGACTCGCCAATAGAAGGTCGCAAAATTGTCTCCTTTGGCCTAAAGTCGGCGGTACGAGGGTATACACAGTTGGTGTTTACGGCCTAGTAACCTGGGGACATCAAGAAACGCCTGAGATGACGTGAGCAATGATGGAAGACGAGATTCACCTGTTCTGCAAACAAGCAACCCGCCTCTACGACCTTCTGACACCACTCCTGCTAAGAGACACCGTTGGTACATCCAGTCCTGCTCTGCTGTGGTCATCTGCGCCGTCAAGTTTAACATCAAGACTGCCGTGTGAACTGTGATTGATATGAAGGCGTGTGGACTGTCGAGAGCAAGATTAATGGCCGAAGTAACAGTATTCTACAGCTGTCACTTGGCACTCCGCTCTACTACACTCTGTCGTCATTCAGGAGTACCGGATGGGAGTACAAGAGGACCAGGTATTGATGTCTACACATGGGGAGAAGCAAGATCGACACCGTCATCGTCAGCGACTACATTCAGCATCCAGCAGCGTCGATTTTTTTTTATCGTTTACTTAATATGAACAATTGATACGAACAACAAAGTTGGCTCTGAACATCTGTGTAAAGAACATCTGGACACTTTTGTTTAAATGTTGAAAAACAGATTTAAAATCAATACTTTATAAATGTTGAAAAACAGATTTAAAATAATAATTCTAGTATAATATATGAATTTTACTCTATAAATTGGTCAGTAATCAAAATCGAAGCCCCTGTGTAATTGTCTCAGCCCAGAACAAACGGTTATGGAAAATTATGTTGTGCTATTTTTTTCAGAATGTTTGAACACAGGAGAGGCGGACCAATATAAACATTGACACTTCTAGTGAGTGAGAACACTTGGCTGTACAGTCAGCTGAAACCTGTGATATAGTATAGGAATTTTATTTTTATTTTTAGATACATGTAATAAACATTAGGTGTGTTCCTTAACATGTCAAGGTTGACATTGATGGGGAGTGGTTAGTACACGGATGTGAGCTTGATAGTTCCGTAGTACGCTCCCGGATGACTGAAAGTTCAGTCTGATGATATAACTTTAATGTTTGTTTGAGCACGGTGTGGCCGGCTCTAGAGGACACATGGACTTGGCTAGTGAAGAGCCAAGAGAGTTTAATAGCTAGTTTTTGATGGTAGAGTAGGGACATGTTATTTAGCTATATCAGTAAGGATAGGATGTATGTTTCCTGATATTAGAGGATTGCTGTCAGTTGACAGCTGAGAAATTTATGAAATATGAACATATTTATTATGATGTTGGACTATTATTTGTCAAATTTCATTAGTTAGGTTAGCTTTTGTTTGTGGCATGAGTTGAATTGTGGGTTTGGATACTAAACCTCGTGAATTTTAACAAATTAACAAGGTTTACTAAGTGCTTGTGCGGGGGGGGGTTGTAACAAACTAGGCTGTTGTAAGAATTATTCCAGAAGGTTCCAGAAGTTCGAGTAGGGACCTGACCTCTCAACAACGCCCAGTCCCCTGGGAATTAGCAGGTCTGAGTCACAAATGGCGGGCATCTTTGTTCATAGCTGCGTATAATGAACCATCCTATAGTATTCAGTAATTTAGAGAAAATTAGCCTTTATTCATTTTGCATTAAAATTGTATTGTATAATAGTACTGGATACAATATCAAGAGTATTCTAATTATTGAGTTTAAGTCACCATCAGTGACGTCACGAATCGGATCTAACTTTTAAGGCGGAGTGACCGGCGGTCATAGGTCAGCAGGGTTGACATGTCTAGTATTTCTCAAAGTTCAATTAACCATTTTGGGGATCGGGAACAGCTCTGCCGTTAGATGTTTGTAATTTAATTCAGTAAAATAAATCAACCAGTCTGGATCAATTCAGTACAAACAGAGGTTAATTGTTATAACTTAAACCTTGCTAGTAACTGGGTAGAACTTTGACTGACTAGGCGGAAGGATACAATGCTCTGTCTGGGGTAGACCAGACAAGAGGGAGATCAGTGTGATCTGCCGAGCAGCTGGGAGAGGTCAAACATCTTACCTCTCCCCAGGACCAGCCCAACACCTAGAGCTGGAAAACATAGAGGTATAGTTGCTATGGTTATGTATAGAAATAGTCTCATTTGCCACTCAGGTCAAGTAGGGAGTGTTAAAGTGATAGGGAGTGAACATATTTAGATTTTGTTTTAGTTTTCTTTTAATAAATTAAATTTGTTATTAATTTGCATTTTATTGTTTCCATTTGGTTATGTGTATACTTGTCCTGGTCACGTGGTCCACACGAGGCAGAGTTGCATTGGGCGCCGATTCTAACATCGAATCATCCCCGTGTAATTAATTCCACACTCAAGTTTCCGAGGTTATAAACTACTAGTGGGGATCAAGCCCCAAGGTTGATTAATTAGCGTGATCGATCCAGACCTCGATCATTGCTCTGTGTTACTGGTCTGGTGGTGGCAGCAGAGGTGACTCTAGGGTTTTGCTCAGAGCTTAGGTCACGTCATACTGGGTGTAGAATCCTAAGTCGGTCAATCGTCTTAGGACCACGTGGCGTGGAGTTGGCTTTGGTAAAAGTTTTGGAGTCCCTTGGTAGAGAATAAATAAGTAAGAATACGGGTAGAGGGCAAAGAAAGAAGGAAGTAGAGAGGGGAACCCAAACCCGTGTTACAGAGAGGACAGCATGCTGGACTTGTGATCCTGTGGTCGTGGGTTCGATCCCAAGCGCCGGCGAGAAACATTGGGCAGAGTTTCTTTCACCTTATGCCCCTGTTACCTAGCAGTAAAATAGGTACCTGGGTGTTAGTCAGCAGTCACGGGCTGCTTCCTGGGGGTGGAGGCCTGGTCGAGGACCGGGCCGCGGGGACGCTAAAGCCCCGAAATCATCTCAAGAATAAATCATCATCATCTCAAGATTGGTAAATGACTGATTAAATAAAACTATTTTGCAGTAACTTGTTGAAATTAGTTGATAATTCACTATAATTCACTATGATAATTGATAATATCAATTAATTGATAATCTTGCTGTTGATAATAAATAACAATTAACTACTTACTAAATGGCAGAAATAATTGCTTTAAAGAATTAGTAACAAGATGAACGGAGAATATGTAAGGGGAAGCAATGAACCTAAACAACACGTCAGAATATGTAAGAAAAAGCGATGAACTTAGACAACAGGTCAGAATATGTAAGAAAAAGTGATGAACTTAGACAACACGTCAGAATATGTAAGAAAAAGTGATGAACTTAGACAACAGGTCAGAATGTGTAAGAAAAAGCGATGAACTTAGACAACAGGTCAGAATATGTAAGAAAAAGTGATGAACTTAGACAACAGGTCAGAATGTGTAAGAAAAAGCGATGAACTTAGACAACAGGTCAGAATATGTAAGAAAAAGCGATGAACTTAGACAACACGTCAGAATATGTAAGAAAAAGTGATGAACTTAGACAACAGGTCAGAATATGTAAGAAAAAGTGATGAACTTAGACAACAGGTCAGAATGTGTAAGAAAAAGTGATGAACTTAGACAACAGGTCAGAATATGTAAGAAAAAGCGATGAACTTAGACAAGACGTCAGGATAGGTAGAGGATGTATGGATGGATGGAGGAAAATTGTAAGAAAGGGTAGGGAGATGAACAGAGAACAAGTGGGGGACATGTAAAGGGAGGACGAAGACGTTGTTGTGTGTACAGTATTTACATATAAGTTATGTAAGAACATGATAAGATACACGGTATTAGCTGTTTAAGTCTCGAGAAGCATGCAAAGAACTGAAGAACATGCAATAAAATGCATTGAACACAGAGAACATGTAAGAAAATGCATTGAACACAGAGAACATGTAAGAAAATGAATATGAATAGAGTAATGTATTAACTGTTCATTATTAAATGTTTTAAAACTTGAAGAAATTGATTGGATAGTAGCGGAGTTGTGAGAGGGAACTAAGGTGGGGGACAGGAGCTGAGTAACTAAATTGTTACATTTTACTATGTCTGAAATACAGGGGTATTAAACTCCAGGGAACTTGATCGGTTAATAATGGAGTTGTAAGAGAAAAGTTAGATGGAGTTCAAGAGCTGAAGCTCGGTAACTGCTTTGATCTATTTTACTATGTTTGAAATACAGAGAGTTTAAATTTCATGGAAATTGATGAGTTAATATTATAGTTTTAGGAGTAAAGTGGAGGACAAGAACTGGAGTTTGGTAACAATTTTCTTTTATTAATACGTTTGAAATAACGATGTTTTAAATTTCAGAGAAATTGATCGGTTAATTGCGAAAGTACACTTATAACTGTACAGAGTCAGGTCCAAGAACTAACATACGATGTACTTTTAAAAATATCTGCTGAAGTCTGTAGGGTGTAAGTCTGTAGGGTTTAAGTCTGTAGGGTTTAAGTCTGTAGGGTTTAAGTCTGTAGGGTTTAAGTCTGTAGGGTTTAAGTCTGTAGGGTGTAAGTCTGTAGGGTGTAAGTCTGTAGGGTGTAAGTCTGTAGGGTTTAAGTCTGTAGGGTTTAAGTCTGTAGGTCTGTAGGGTTTAAGTCTTAAACCCCTAAGTCTGTAGGGTTTAAGTCTGTAGGGTTTAAGTCTGTAGGGTGTAAGTCTGTAGGGTGTAAGTCTGTAGGGTTTAAGTCTGTAGAGTGTAAGTCTGTAGGGTGTAAGTCTGTAGGGTGTAAGTCTGTAGGGTGTAAGTCTGTAGGGTGTAAGTCTGTAGGGTTTAAGTCTGTAGGGTTTAAGTCTGTAGGGTTTAAGTCTGTAGGGTTTAAGTCTGTAGGGTTTAAGTCTGTAGGGTTTAAGTCTGTAGGGTTTAAGTCTGTAGGGTTTAAGTCTGTAGGGTTTAAGTCTGTAGGGTTTAAGTCTGTAGGGTTTAAGTCTGCAGGGTTTAAGTCTGTAGGGTTTAAGTCTGTAGGGTTTAAGTCTGTAGGGTTTAAGTCTGTAGGGTTTAAGTCTGTAGGGTTTAAGTCTGTAGGGTTTAAGTCTGTAGGGTTTAACTATATCCATAAGAACTCTTGTAAGACTGCAGCGAGGATTAAAACGGACAAATTTCGGTCTTAAAACTAAACTCTGAAAATATATTGGTCTTAAAATTAAACTCAGAAAAATTTTCGGTCTAAAACTGGTCTCTGAAAAAAAAAATGATTATAAAACGGGTGACATCAGTAAATGAACACAAAACAAAAAAATTACCGCTAAGGGGGCTATTTTCCATAACAAAACTTTTTTGAACATATTCTCAGAAAATGGTCATAAATGGGGGTGACAGCACGAGGAATAAAACTATTACAAAAATTTGAATTTCCCCATAAGAATCCTTTAAGAACGCAACGGTGAGAATAAAAAAAAATTCTCATCGGAAAACAGGTGACGGGTCAGCGGTGATATTTTCCAAAATCAAATGTCACCGCTAACCTGTCATTCCCACTACTTGCAGCTAGGTGAGTGTATGCGCCGAGGTGAGTGTACTCACCTAGTTCTACCTACAGGAGGTTGAGCTTTGGCTCTATGGACACGCCTCTCAACTGTCACTCAACTGGTGTACAGGTTCCTGAGCCTACTGGACTCTATCATATCTACACTTGAAACTGTGTATGGAGTCAGCCTCCACCACATCACTTCCTAATGCATTTCATTTACTAACTACTCTGACACTGAAAAAGTTCTTTCTAATGTCTCTATGGCTCATAATACTTGAATGCTTTGCTTTCATACATGCCATATTAAACCACGGATTCTTCTTCTGCTTCTCTTTTTTTTTTTTTGCTAGTGTATGCTGCTAGGTGAGTGTATGAAGCTAGGTTAGTGTATGCAGCTAGGTTAGTGTATGTGGCTAGTTTAGTGTATGAAGCTAGGTTAGTGTATGCAGCTAGGTTAGTGTATGAAGCTAGGTTAGTGTATGCAGCTAGGTTAGTGTATGAAGCTAGGTTAGTGTATGCAGCTAGGTTAGTGTATGCAGCTAGGTTAGTGTATGCAGCTAGGTTAGTGTATGAAGCTAGGTTAGTGTATGCAGCTAGGTTAGTGTATGCAGCTAGGTTAGTGTATGAAGCTAGGTTAGTGTATGCAGCTAGGTTAGTGTATGAAGCTAGGTTAGTGTATGCAGCTAGGTTAGTGTATGAAGCTAGGTTAGTGTATGCAGCTAGGTTAGTGTATGAAGCTAGGTTAGTGTATGAAGCTAGGTTAGTGTATGCAGCTAGGTTAGTGTATGAAGCTAGGTTAGTGTATGCAGCTAGGTTAGTATATACTGCTAGGTTAGTGTATGAAGCTAGGTTAGTGTATGAAGCTAGGTTAGTGTATGCAGCAAGGTTAGTGTATGTGGCTAGGTTAGTGTAGAAGCTAGGTTAGTGTATGAAGCTAGGTTAGTGTATGCATGCAGCTAGGTTAGTGTATGCAGCTAGGTTAGTGTATGAAGCAAGGTTAGTGTATGCAGCAAGGTTAGTGTATGAAGCTAGGTTAGTGTATGCAGCTAGGTTAGTGTATGTATGCAGCTAGGTTAGTGTATGCAGCTAGGTTAGTGTATGAAGCTAGGTTAGTGTATGAAGCTAGGTTAGTGTATGCAGCTAGGTTAGTGTATGCAGCTAGGTTAGTGTATGAAGCTAGGTTAGTGTATGCAGCTAGGTTAGTGTATGCAGCTAGGTTAGTGTATGAAGCTAGGTTAGGTTAGTGTATGCAGCTAGGTTAGTGTATGCAGCTAGGTAGTGTATAGTGCAGCTAGGTTAGTGTATGAAGCTAGGTTAGTGTAAGCTAGGTTAGTGTATGCAGCTAGGTTAGTGTATGAAGCTAGGTTAGTGTATGAAGCTAGGTTAGTGTATGCAGCTAGGTTAGTGTATGCAGCTAGGTTAGTGTATGAAGCTAGGTTAGTGTATGCAGCTAGGTTAGTGTATGAAGCTAGGTTAGTGTATGCAGCTAGGTTAGTGTATGAAGCTAGGTTAGTGTATGAAGCTAGGTTAGTGTATGCAGCTAGGTTAGTGTATGCAGCTAGGTTAGTGTATGAAGCTAGGTTAGTGTATGCAGCTAGGTTAGTGTATGAAGCTAGGTTAGTGTATGTGGCTAGGTTAGTGTATGCAGCTAGGTTAGTGTATGTAGCTAGGTTAGTGTATGAAGCTAGGTTAGTGTATGAAGCTAGGTTAGTGTATGAAGCTAGGTTAGTGTATGCAGCTAGGTTAGTGTATGAAGCTAGGTTAGTGTATGCAGCTAGGTGAGTGTATTCAGCAAGGTTAGTGTATGAAGCTAGGTTAGTGTATGCAGCTAGGTTAGTGTATGAAGCTAGGTTAGTGTATGCAGCTAGGTTAGTGTATGTGGCTAGGTTAGTGTATGCAGCTAGGTTAGTGTATGAAGCTAGGTTAGTGTATGCAGCTAGGTTAGTGTATGCAGCTAGGTTAGTGTATGAAGCTAGGTTAGTGTATGCAGCAAGGTTAGTGTATGTGGCTAGGTTAGTGTATGCAGCTAGGTTAGTGTATGCAGCTAGGTTAGTGTATGCAGCTAGGTTAGTGTATGTGGCTAGGTTAGTGTATGTGGCTAGGTTAGTGTATGTGGCTAGGTTAGTGTATGCAGCAAGGTTAGTGTATGCAGCAAGGTTAGTGTATGTGGCTAGGTTAGTGTATGTGGCTAGGTTAGTGTATAGCTAGGTTAGTGTATGCAGCTAGGTTAGTGTATGCAGCTAGGTTAGTGTATGTGCAGCTAGGTTAGTGTATGCAGCAAGGTTAGTGTATGTATGAAGCTAGGTTAGTGTATGCAGCTAGGTTAGCTAGGTTATATGCAGCTAGGTTAGTGTATGAAGCTAGGTTAGTGTATGCAGCTAGGTTAGTGTATGAAGCTAGGTTAGTGTATGCAGCTAGGTTAGTGTATGCAGCTAGGTTAGTGTATGAAGCTAGGTTAGTGTATGAAGCTAGGTTAGTGTATGAAGCTAGGTTAGTGTATGAAGCTAGGTTAGTGTATGAAGCTAGGTTAGTGTATGCAGCTAGGTTAGTGTATGCAGCTAGGTTAGTGTATGCAGCTAGGTTAGTGTATGAAGCTAGGTTAGTGTATGAAGCTAGGTTAGTGTATGAAGCTAGGTAGGTTAGTGTATGAAGCTAGGTTAGTGTATGAAGCTAGGTTAGTGTATGAAGCTAGGTTAGTGTATGAAGCTAGGTTAGTGTATGAAGCTAGGTTAGTGTATGAAGCTAGGTTAGTGTATGAAGCTAGGTTAGTGTATGAAGCTAGGTTAGTGTATGAAGCTAGGTTAGTGTATGAAGCTAGGTTAGTGTATGAAGCTAGGTTAGTGTATGAAGCTAGGTTAGTGTATGAAGCTAGGTTAGTGTATGCAGCTAGTATGAAGTGTTAGTGTGCTAGGTTAGTGTAAGCTAGGTTAGTGTATGAAGCTAGGTTAGTGTATGAAGCTAGGTTAGTGTATGCAGCTAGGTTAGTGTATGCTAGCTAGGTGTATGCAGTGTAGTGTATGTGGCTAGGTTAGTGTATGTGGCTAGGTTAGTGTATGCAGCAAGGTTAGTGTATGCAGCAAGGTTAGTGTATGTGGCTAGGTTAGTGTATGTGGCTAGGTTAGTGTAGCTAGGTAGGTTAGTGTATGCTAGGTTAGTGTATGTGGCTAGGTTAGTGTATGTGGCTAGGTTAGTGTATGTGGCTAGGTTAGTGTATGTGGCTAGGTTAGTGTATGTGGCTAGGTTAGTGTATGCAGCAAGGTTAGTGTATGTGGCTAGGTTAGTGTATGCAGCTAGGTTAGTGTATGTGGCTAGGTTAGTGTATGCAGCTAGGTTAGTGTATGCAGCTAGGTTAGTGTCTGCAGCTAGGTTAGTGTATGCAGCTAGGTTAGTGTATGCAGCTAGGTTAGTGTATGCCGCTAGGTTAGTGTATGCAGCTAGGTTAGTGTATGCAGCTAGGTTAGTGTATGCAGCTAGGTTAGTGTATGCTGCTAGGTTAGTGTATGCAGCTAGGTTAGTGTATGAAGCTAGGTTAGTGTATGTGGCTAGGTTAGTGTATGCAGCTAGGTGAGTGTATGCAGCTAGGTGAGTGTATGTGGCTAGGTTAGTGTATGCAGCTAGGTTAGTGTATGCAGCTAGGTTAGTGTATGCAGCTAGGTTAGTGTATGAAGCTAGGTTAGTGTATGCAGCTAGGTTAGTGTATGCTAGGTTAGTGTATAGCTAGGTGAGTGTATGCAGCTAGGTGAGTGTATGCAGCTAGGTGAGTGTATGAAGCTAGGTTAGTGTATGTGGCTAGGTTAGTGTATGCAGCTAGGTGAGTGTATGAAGCTAGGTTAGTGTATGCAGCTAGGTGAGTGTATGAAGCTAGGTTAGTGTATGCCGCTAGGTTAGTGTATGAAGCTAGGTTAGTGTATGCTACTAGGTGAGTGTATGCTGCTAGGTTAGTGTATGCCGCTAGGTTAGTGTATGAAGCTAGGTTAGTATATGCACCTAGGTGAGTATGTCTGTGGAAAATTCCACTCACCATATTCATATTAACTAAGGAATGTAATATTTCGTTAACATATCTATAATTTATCTCAGAATCATATCTACTGATGATTCATGGATCATCTTTATATATATATATATATTAACACCCAACATGACCATTGGGTCAAGTACACTATTGAGCTCAACGTCTTTAATTCATTGTACATGTGATCTGCAGAATCTAGAAGCTTCCAAGTAATCAAAAAATATTGCTGGAACCAAAGATATTGATCCAGTGATGTAATCTCATTATTCCTAAAAAAGGACAAAATGTACTATCAGGTACTGCCAATAATCTTTAAATCCACTAAGTGTTTATCTTGTGATATAAATTGATCACAATGGTCAGTCTGTATAAAGAAAATAATCGTTTTATAATCATTGCCGGCACCAGTAGAGGCCGGTGACATATATGAGAGGCGGGACCAAAGAGCCAGAGCTCAACCCCCGCAAGCACAACTAGGTGAGTATACACACACACTCGATTCACGCATACGCAGACTCCATACACAGTTTCAAGTATAGATATGATAGAGCCCAATAGGGCCAGGAGTGGGG